AAGGCATAGGGTGGCGATTTGTAAATTTAGCCAACATAGCTTCAAACGCCCAGTTTCCCCTGATTTCTGATTGTCTGTAGTTTAAGGGCATATTATCTACTTGCAGATTATGTCACTGTAAGGTAATGTTGGCTGTGATGGTTATAAGCAGAACTGCTTACCTGCTTTGATTTCATTTTTTTATCCGTTTCAGGTACCTCTACGCCTCCTCTGCGCAGTTTTGCGTCGAGAACAAAGGACATCATAAGGCGCCTCCAAGCCAAGGTTTCAAAGTACCGGAAGACCATCGCAAGACTGCGCAAGCAAGAGAAGAATATGCCTCGATCAGCTTCGGAAGCTCTCGACATCATTCGCCCTCACGTGACAGACGAGTTATTTCACCTACTGTCAAGCCATGTTAAATTAAGATCCAAGGGCAAGGAAAAACGATTCCCGTTATTGTTGAAAAAGTTTGCTCTTCATCTCAAATTCCGTGGACCGCGGAATTTGAGATGTTTCGCAGGATTCGATTATAATGAAAAATGTTTTGCAGGATTCAGTTGTGCTGACATGTCCGTTTCGTAAATAGAAACTTGGATAAAGTTCGCTTTCATTCTGGAGATGTGTTTCAGCCCTTATGTTGCGTTTCATAAGATATCTGCAAGAGTAAAATTAATATTATTGGGATTTTATTGGGCCGTACAGACTGCACACTAGGCATTTGTTGGGATCATTTGCAGCAAGTAGGTTGCACTCTACTGGTCTACTGTAGTGACTGCTTTTTTAGATGGTCTGGTCTGTGTTTTTCTATTATGGCCATGTGGAATGTGTAAGTTCCCATTTTGATCTTTTTTAATACTCTCTGAGGTCTTTCATATTGGATGCAACTTCCTTTTCTTTTGGACATTGTTTCTGTTTTACACATGTGAAGCGTGAAGGAGATTGAGATCAGAGTGTCTGCCAACCTGGGCAAGCCTGAAATTCTCAGGGAATTTTAGATATCACCTGGAAAAGTCAAGGAATTATCAGGGAAACTGTCAAAAGGTTGACTAAATCAGGGAAAGTGACCGGTGAAAGTGGCACGGTGGTGCGGTGGTGCGGAACGAAGCCCGGCGATCGGGTGTCGCCACAGCTGTGCTGAATAACATTGCCCAAAATGTTATCCTTCGAAGGAAGAAACAGCCAAGGAATTTTATCAAAATAGTCAAGGAAAACCTTGAAAAATCATGGACTTTGGAAAAAGTCATCTAGTAGACACCCTGTAAGATGTACTTAATTAGGCAGTGCAGATTGCATGCCAAGCCTTTGCTGGAATCATTTGTGATGAGTGGGTCGCAGCTACACCGGTCACCAGTCTGCTTGTAGCAGTCTTTTGTCAGCCATTCTTTTTATGGCAGTGGAATAGTTTTATGGCAGTTAAACCTTACATATTAAATGTGAGATGTTAAACGTGACATGAACATAAAACTTGTATTAGTTCGTCGGTTGACTTTCAGTTCTTGTTATTTTGGACATTATTGTTACTTAAATCAGCAGGAGCAAGGTATGTCTAATTGTGCATTGCACGCTGTGTTAGGGACTATGTCACAGACTAAATAGGTCTATACTAGTGGCAATCTCATTTAGGCATTTACTTGTCTGTTTTTGCTTTTCTTTTCTCATTGTGGTCATCGTGCATCTCAGAATTCTTCTGCTGAACTTTTTATTAGCATACAAAATGCATTGGATCAACGAGCTTTGATACTGCATGGCCATTTTTTTGTGTTTGTTGCTGATGCTGCATATGTTATATGTGTTTGTGCGCCTTCCATGGAACTTTCTTGAGAATACAAAACCGGCTTTCGATCCAATTGCAGTTGTAATTTCAGTTGTTTGATAAGACTTTTATGTATGCCATAATATGCTGGTCGTTTTTTGTAGGATGTACTGTTTGTGAATCCTTGATACACTGTGCTTGTGCTCTGTAGTTTTTGTATTATATACGAGGCACAAACTGCCCATCATATTTTTTTTGCGAAAATAAACTCTGTTGATTACTCCCTGGTGGTGTTCTTCTGGAGAGCACAAACCTATATGGGTTTCCTGGCTTTAAAGTCAGTCTTAACCGTATATAGTATTGTCCATTAGTTGTCCGCATTAGGATTCACACATACGTGTGAAGTAATAATACCTGAAATTCGGCATGCGGGAATAATAGGAAAATCATAAGTCGCGGCAAAGCAGGTGGCGCACGCTACCGCCCATCGCACTACGCCAAACTAGATATCTATCCATCCGGTAAGTTTTTTTTTTTTTTTTTTTTTTTTTTTTTTATTGTGATTTCATTTATTCAGTTCGGGATTACAACGGCCGCCGAGTGCGCTTCCTGCCAGCTAAATGGGCCGCTGGGGCCTATGGAAGTGTCCGCTTTTTTCCCTTGTGTAGATTAATGGGCTGGAGCTTAGCCCTATTAATGCAAAGTTCAGCGAAAAATATTTTCCCACGGTGGTTTTTAGGAGAAGCCAGCTTCCAGAGCAGGCTCGAGCTTAGTCATATTAATGCAAAGTTCAGCGAAAAAAATTTTCCCACGGTGGTTTTTAGGAGAAGCCAGCTTCCAGAGCAGGCTCGATCGAGCTTAGCCCTATTAATGCAAAGTTCAGCGAAGAAAAACATTTTCCCACGGTGGTTTTTAGGAGAAGCCAGCTTCCAGAGCAGGCTCGAGCTTAGTCATATTAATGCAAAGCAGCGAAAAAAATTTCCCACGGTGGTTTTTAGGAGAAGCCAGCTTCCAGAGCAGGCTCGAGCTTAGTCATATTAATGCAGTTCAGCGAACAAAATTTTCCCACGGTGGTTTTTAGGAGAAGCCAGCTTCCAGAGCAGGCTCGAGCTTAGTCATATTAATGCAAAGTTCAGCGAAAAAAATTTTCCACGGTGGTTTTTAGGAGAAGCCAGCTTCCAGAGCAGGCTCGAGCTTAGTCATATTAATGCAAAGTTCAGCGAAAAAAATTTTCCCACGGTGGTTTTTAGGAGAAGCCAGCTTCCAGAGCAGGCTCGAGCTTAGTCATATTAACGCAAAGTTCAGCGAAAAAAATTTTCCCACTGTGGTTTTTAGGAGAAGCCAGCTTCCAGAGCAGGCTCGAGCTTAGTCATATTAATGCAAAGTTCAGCGAAAAAAATTTTCCCACGGTGGTTTTTAGGAGAAGCCAGCTTCCAGAGCAGGCTCGATCGAGCTTAGCCCTATTAATGCAGTTCAGCGAAAAAAATTTTCCCACGGTGGTTTTTAGGAGAAGCCAGCTTCCAGAGCAGGCTCGATCGAGCTTAGCCCTATTAATGCAAAGTTCAGCGAAAAAAATTTTCCCACGGTTGTTTTTAGGAGAAGCCAGCTTCCAGAGCAGGCTCGAGCTTAGTCATATTAATGCAAAGTTCAGCGAAAAAAATTTTCCCACGGTGGTTTTTAGGAGAAGCCAGCTTCCAGAGCAGGCTCGAGCTTAGTCATATTAATGCAAAGTTCAGCGAAAAAAATTTTCCCACGGTGGTTTTTAGGAGAAGCCAGCTTCCAGAGCAGGCTCGAGCTTAGTCATATTACTGCAAAGTTCAGCGAAAGAAATTTTCCCACGGTGGTTTTTAGGAGAAGCCAGCTTCCAAGCAGGCTCGAGCTTAGTCATATTAATGCAAAGTTCAGCGAAAACAATTTTCCCACGGTTGTTTTTAGGAGAAGCCAGCTTCCAGAGCAGGCTCGAGCTTAGTCATATTAATGCAAAGTTCAGCGAAAAAAATTTTCCCACGGTGGTTTTTAGGAGAAGCCAGCTTCCAGAGCAGGCTCGAGCTTAGTCATATTAATGCAAAGTTCAGCGAAAAAATTTTTCCCACGGTGGTTTTTAGGAGAAGCCAGCTTCCAGAGCTGGCTCGAGCTTAGTCATATTAATGCAAAGTTCAGCGAAAGAAATTTTCCCACGGTGCTTTTTAGGAGAAGCCAGCTTCCAAGCAGGCTCGAGCTTAGTCATATTAATGCAAAGTTCAGCGAAAAAAATTCTCCCACGGTGGTTTTTAGGAGAAGCCAGCTTCCAGAGCAGGCTCGAGCTTAGTCATATTAATGCAAAGTTCAGCGAAAAAAATTTTCCCACGGTGGTTTTTAGGAGAAGCCAGCTTCCAGAGCAGGCTCGAGCTTAGTCATATTAATGCAAAGTTCAGCGAAAGGAATTTTCCCACGGTGCTTTTTAGGAGAAGCCAGCTTCCAAGCAGGCTCGAGCTTAGTCATATTAATGCAAAGTTCAGCGAAAAAAATTTTCCCACGGTTGTTTTTAGGAGAAGCCAGCTTCCAGAGCAGGCTCGAGCTTAGTCATATTAATGCAAAGTTCAGCGAAAAAATTTTCCCAATTTTGTTTTTAGGAGAAGCCAGCTTCCAGAGCAGGCTGGAGCTTAGCCCAAAATGCAACATTTTTTTGCATTTAGGCGCACTTGTTTGACGAGATAAAGAACTTGAAAGAACTTTAGAGTGATAACTTTATTAGAGCAATCATCTAGCGGTCTGATAGGGGCGGTTTGAAGTGCGCCGGTTGCGTAAAAGCACGCCCCCAAATAGGCCGCATCTGAACGAAAAAGCGCCTCCTTATCAGGAAAATCTTTGCCCTATCATCCAGGAGGACGATAGGCAAACACTAACTGCAAAAGATTCTAGGCATCTGCGACTCGGAAGTGCTGCTTTTCACTGGCTAATTCATGTCAGGGGAGATGCATTCAGAAATAAATTTTTGCATTTAATTCAAAAGTTTTATTGATGGAGTGTAGTCAGCGTAGCATGTACCCACCCTTTGCTTTGCCTCCAGCACCTGCTCCTTGCCTTCTACAGGGCTTTGGCTGTACATGCGACGAAGCAGAGAGCTCAAAGAGGAGAGCTCACGTTCGGGGCGGAGCATCTACTGAGTGCTCAACCCACGAGATTGGTCGAAAGCTTACCTCAAGGTTGCAGAGCGTAGGTCGACGGTCAGTGTCGAATTGGGAATGTTCCGGCATCCTTCCACCACGACAGATACCATACACACTTTATTTTTGTGGAAAACATTTATTTACACAGAAAGAAGCAGAACACTGTCTTCTACCTATAACAATGTGCAGCACAACAAGAGTCAGGGCTGGCGCACGGCCTTCAGCATCCTCTCGAGCATGAGCGAGAGGAAGAGGTCCAGGGGGTCCATGCAGCCGCGCTGCAGCCACTTGGGGATGGTGACGCGGGTGTGAGAGAAGCCCAGCTTGTGCAAGATGTAGTCCACCCCGTAGGGCTCTATGCCCTTGCCCGCCCAGGAGAGCAGCCGCACCGTAGGCTCCAGGTGCCACGTGTAGCACTGGTAGTCGCGGAAGTCTCGGTGCAGGGGCTCCAGTGGCTCCACCACGCTACCACGCTTGCGACGCTCGCTCTCCGGCGACTGGCTCTTGCCGCCCACCGAGGCTGTGCGTGAGAATCCGACAAAGGGGCAAATTTTTCACCACGCTACGACGCGGTAAACTAAAATGCGTTTCATCCTGTGGAAAGTATAGCCAGCATTTCACCCACTTGGAGGGTTCTTTTAGTTTAAGCACTGTTTTAAAACATCTGAGCTACTAATAGATGCATAACCATGTGGTAGACACTTCCTTTACATCCCGGTGACAGAGTGGAAGAGTAGAGAAGATACTGAATTAAAAAGCGCAAAGGACAGACATGGACATGAAGTAGACAGGACAATGCTATTTATTTAAATTTGTGCTTTTTAATTCAATATGTTAAACCAACTAGCCTCCTTAATATTTGAGCAGAGAAGAAAAATGCAAGAATCGACCCACCACCATCTTTCTCTCGAATGTAGGACATTATCAGGTCATGCAGGAAGAAGAAGGCTTCCGCGTCCACGGCCACAAAGATGTGGTCGTCAAACTCCGTCACAAAGCTGCACTCCACGACGGGCCGGGAATCTGCAGAATGAGGCCCCCGCAGTCAACAAGGATCGTGACTCGACTGACAGAGGCATTCCGCTTTTTGCGGCAGGTGTCGCAGTGATATACCACACTTGAACAAACTACTCGCATGAACAAACTTGAGAAATTCTCCAACAAAACCCCGTAAGATTCATTCAGCCGATAGAACTTTCCCTTGAGCAAATGTTTTCTCAAGGTCCCTGGAAGTTTGTTCAAGTGGTACTTCACTGTACGGCGTAAGCAGGGGGTCAACAATTCGCTGTCAAATACCCTCGTTGCTTTCGACGGTGGAGGAGTCTAATAGAACACCTAACCTCGGCTGAATTCCTCTTCAGTTCTCGAGTTTCGTTACACATAAGCAATCCCAGTATATAAACATTTCTATTGCTTATCACCCAGGCGAAAAATGATGAGTCACTAGAATATGAACATATGCATATAATATTTTGCAAAGGTAAGCTCAGAATGCACAGCCCGGTAGATGGACGAAGATAGCAGTGAGCAGAAGGCGATTAGTGAAATGGTCTATAATCTCCTCTAGTCACCAGCTTTTTTTTTAGGCAGAAATGTTTAGTCTTTGGTGGAATGGCAAATATTAGGTCAACAAATAGCGCCGGGCAATTCGTTGCCCTTTGACATCAGATCTCTTCGCAGAACCCCCCGCAGTCGAAGGGTCACCATACTTCCCAAGCCCAACCTCTATATCTGGCCCCGTCGGGACTCAGATGGAGCATTTGGAAACACTCTCGAACCCGGGCACCCTAGCGCCGCAGCACGCACCGTCGGGACCGGGGCTGTGCTCTCCCTGCAGCTGCTCCGTCTTGAGGTGGAGCTCGAGGCTGGGGAAGGTGAAGATCATCTCCATTGTGTGGCCGGCCTCGGGGCCACTGGTCGGCGTGGGGCGCCCTTCGAAGGCCGGGAAGCGGCCCACGTCGTCCAGCTCGCTGCTGGCAAAGGCGTAATGAAACCACTCGTTGACCGTCTTGAACTGGGGTGGGAAGAGCACGTTGCGGCTGATGCGGCACACGGTGGCCATGCTGCCCGCGCCCGTGCCGCCGGTGCCCAGCCGGAAGGTCAGGTGCTGGACCACGTGCGTGTCCACGGCCGCCTGGGGCCCCAGCACGTCCTGGGCCTCGGTGGCGAAGTGGATGCTGGGCTGGCGCAGGCTGAACAGCGCCCAGGCCTTGGACCGGAAGCTCACCCCGTGGAAGCACGTCAGGGACACGTTGCCACCCTGCGCCCACACCGCCCTAGTCAGGCTGGCTTCGGGACGCTACGCTTCGTTTCGCCGTAAGAGCGCGGTGAAAAGCTAGAAGACACAAGAGCACACATACTGAAACCGCTAGGTCACGGCACATTCACCGAACGGTTGGGTTAGCCGATGACAGCGTGCACAGAAACACGAGGGACACTGATATATACTCTACTCGGATGCACCCCAACTTAAGGTGGATGCTAGGCCCTGCAACTTTTCCTCCGTGTCCCAGGTTTGGACACTCCACTTAAGTTTGTTGTTAAGCTTTGTCTCAAACAAATAGCGCAGCTTTTGTTTAGGGACCAACATCACCGTGGCTTAGGTGGCACTATTACGTCAATGTTGAGCAGATTCAGGTACACTAGTATGGGATGATGGCGTAATAACAGGTTAAAGGCCTACCACTCACGACTGCTTACAACCGAGCGCCTTACAACCTCTTGTGATCTCTTACGACAAGAGAACACCCTGGCACCATCTGTCAGGTAGGCGTGGAACACTCGGCAATAAATGATTGTTTCTCATAGATAGACACGCATTTGATAGCAAAACTACCGCAAAACCTTCGCTCTAGTGAAATGCAGATTTGGGGCCACCTTGCGGATGGCGCCAGCGTGCCATGTGCTCTCTTGTCACGAGAGATAAAAAGAACTCGGTCAAAAGCAAACTTGAGCGTCTCACTGGGCCTTGCATAAATTCCACATGCGCCTACAATGTCATTTCTTGTTTCGACGCTATTAGTCTTACGTGGACGTCGGCTCCTAGAGAAATTTCGTCTCCCTAAATCATCTTTTGATATAGGTAACGTCCCATTCCCAAAATTTCGCGTTCTGGCCCTACCGCCGGCGTCACGTTCTCACGAAGTTGGAGCTTTTTGAGATGCACGGTTCGTTTACACGGGCTGAGAAACAAGGTTCTCTTATTTCGGGAACGCCGTGTACTCGACGCAGACGAGGCCGTGGACGTCTGGGCGAAAAGCGAGAGCCCCTACCTGGAGGTCCATGCTACCTCCGACCAGAGTGCCGTGCAGGGGAAGCCTCAGGCCCCAACCCAGCTGGAGTCCAGACACCAGGGACAGGGCACCCTGCGGGAGGCAGAGGGACGGATCACATCGGGATTCTGACCGCCGCCTGGCACTTGACGCACACGAGGCTCGCTGCACAGTTCCATGTCCTTCCAGATAGTTGCTATAATCACCGACATCTTGAGAAGCGCAGGAAGTGGCGAATCCCGAGCATCTCATTATCGTTTCACGGCCAATCAGGTTGCAGCATTAGCCGATAGGAACACCAAAGAACCAATCGCGAAGCAGGAAGCGCAAACATGATAAGCCATACCCTTCATTCCGCTTTTTGTAAAGCTTGTTTTTGATGGGATACTATTTGTTGGGACCTAGTCAATAAAAATGACCAGTTCTAGATGGCAAGACGTCCTAGTAAGCTCGAAGCAATAGAAATACATGGGCACTATTTTCTGTGTGTGTGTGCGGGGGGGGGGGGGGGTATAAGTAAACCGGGACTTGTATTCCTCATTACTTGTCACGAATGACAAGTGATGAGGCGATAATAACTGAAGAAACTAAACGTTTAATGGGGGCGAACTTGTGCCCAAAAATAAAGAGGAAACAGAAGACAACCGCAGAGCGTCGCGGGCGTCGAAGTCGGCGAAAGAGCAGAGTCGAACGGTAGGGCGAAACTGACTTTGGCTCACCTCGCGAAACCCCTTATGTACACGCGTGGGCCTCTGGAATAATCGGCATAGAAAGTTCGACGCGTAGAACACTCAGACCTCGAACAAGCAACAGGATTAGCGAATTTTCCAGAACACTAAATAGCAGGAATAAACAAAATACACGTTGCTCCCAGGAATCAAACCCTGGCTTTTCGCGTGGGAGGCAGGTGCAATAACCGTCAGGCCACGCGCGCACTGCCTACTTGGTCAGCTGCGCGCGAGGCAATATGGTAACCGCTTTTCTGCGCATGGAACATCCGCCTTGGAAGGCACTCGCCTGCCAGTGACGCTGCTGTGCATGGCGGCTGGGGCCCTCGTCAGCGCCCCCGCGGCCCCTGGGCGCCCGGCGGGCGTGCCCCGCCAGGCGTAGGAAGGAGAAGACCCGGCGGCTGCTGTGGAACTGCTGCGAGAAGAACTCCTCCAGCTTGGAGCCCATCTTGGCCAGGTCGGGGGTGGTGGACTTGGAGAGCGGCAGTTACAGCTGGTCCCAGTGCACCTGGCAATGAAAGGTCGGCCAAAGAGACAAACGCTCTTTTGTGCAGTGGCTGCCTTGGGAATATTCTGCAAGTAGCACGCAGTTCGATCCCCAGCGAAAGTTCCAATTAATGAGGAACACACCGACATAGCTACTGCACAAACTTCAGTTTTCAGGTTTTTAGGGGCAGAGTTCTCGGCTGAAAATCAGTTCACTTGCAGCTGGATTATGGAACTCGTCTTAGCTGGATCCAGCAGGGACCAGTTTCGATATCTAGCTGCGGATGGACTGATTTTCACCAGGGCTACCACATGCAGTCACATTATAGCCTGTGGAGCAATTAAACAGACAAGGATGAAGCTTCTATACACCTCCACCCAACATAGAAGGCAGTGTAATGCATACATTTATCTCGTGCGTGAAATGGCCAGCGGAAGACGAAGACAAAGCTACGCATCGGACGTGTGTTCTAGTCTCCTCAATTTTCATTGATATTTTGCCTACGTCGAATTTATATCAGCAAGTAGCTTCTCAACGTCATCGGGAGGTCCCTATAGTCCCCTCCAGGGCCTTCTGACTTTTCGATCCGGTTTTTAAACCGGCGAGGTATGGACACCACGACCGCCCCTGCAACTGCCATGGATGAAACACCCGACCCGACCGCGCAGGATGACGCCGCAAGCCTGTCCGACTCGCTGATTGAAGACACTGAAGGTCCCTTCCAGGAAGTGACATGCAGAAAGAAGAGACGCTGCAGCAGCCACAACTCTGGCTCCAGCGACGCGACCATCGTCACCCTCCCAGAGCCGACAGTTGGTTTGGTGGTTCTGTTCACGCCACTGGATCCAGACGTGAGCATCGACTCCATTGATTCGGTCCGCGTCTCTAATACCCTGGAGACGCTGGTGCCCTCATGCGTCATTGAAGCTCGATTCAACAGGCGAAAAAATCTTCTCGCGGTTGACACCCGGAATGGCCAGACAACGCGGGTGCTTCTAGGCTTGACCACGCTTTGCGGCATGAAAGTTCGAGCCTTTGAGCCCCGTGGAAAAGTTTCCAGTGTAGGCATCGTGCGCAACGTTGACATCGCTCTCTCAGACACCGAGATCGTCGGAGCGCTACGGTCAAGTGTAAGCATCCGTTGTGTTCGTCGGCTTGGAAAATCAAGCACAGTTCGCATTGAGTTTGCATCTGCCACACTTCCCCAACACATCTACGTTGGCTTGGTCCGGCATGAAGTCGTCCTGTACATTAACAACCCTCTGCAATGCCACCGATGCGGGCTCTTCGGTCACGTTGCGGCTGGCTGCAAGAGGAAGTTGACTTGCCTCCGCTGTGCGCAGCCCCACGCAACTGCGCAGTGTGACGCCTCTGACCTCCACTGCGTAAACTGCAACAAGTCGCATGAAGCAACGTCTCACATATGCCCGTTCTGGCAAGCCGAGCGCACCGTGTGCCGCTATCGCTGCGAGAACAACGTGCCGTTTGCGCAAGCACGAGCAGCATTTGACAAGCCTACTGATGCGCAGGCTGTGCCGGAAGCACAAGCTGCACCAGAAGTCGTCGGCTCTTCCCCGGAACACCCACAAAGACGAAGACATTCGCGACGACGCCAGGTGCAACAAAATTGCGCTGATAAATCGACCTCTTCACCTCTCCCCGAGACATCAAGTGCAGTAAACATCGATCCAGGTACCACGTCGGTCCCCGTGTCCTCTGTCAACAAAAACGAGAAACGAAGCTTCAAAGACGTACTGTGCAGCAGCTCTAGAACGTCGGCTCCTCAAGTGCAAATGCGGCCTACACCGAAGCCTGCACAGGAACTCCCAGACACCGCACCGAAAATCGCAGATTCACGTCCGCCTGAAATTTTCTCCGGCTCCTCTTCGTTCTCTAGCATCGTTCGCCAGATATTCATTGCAGTACGAGAATTTTTACCATTCATAAAGTACTCATGGGCAGACAAGTTACTGCATTTCATTGGACTGATAGAACCTTTAATCGAAAGCTTCCTGCGATGAAGGTCCTAATCATGCTTAGCATTATCATAATGGCAGTCTGTCCCTCTATTTTACAATGGAACGCCCGCAGCATCGCCTCTAAACTACCTGAGTTGCAATATTATCTTGCCTCTACGCCAGTGCCTATACTTGCAATCTCGGAAGGCCGGCTCCTACCTGCATCTCGAATTCAGCCATATGTTCATTATGGAAGTGCCGCATCTGACCCAAACAGCCTGTCGCGAGCTTCGGTTTTTGTTCACTCCACCATTCAACAAGCTGCAGAAGATGTGTCACATCTGTGTACCGAAACAGCAGAGTTCGCGGCTTGCACTGTCATATTTGGTTCTTTTAGGATGACTATTGTATCCGTGTATATATCTCCTGCGGGTCGCTTCGATGCGAAGAGCATTCAAATTTTACGTCGACAGTTCCCCGGTTCTCTGCTTCTATGTGGAGACTTTAACGCGCATCACCCTTCGTGGGGTAGTGAACGCACGACGCCGCGGGGCGCATCCCTTGCAGACGCCATTGAATCTACAGACTTGGTGCTCTTAAATGATGGCTCTCCAACATTTTTCGGCCATCGCGGGAAGCCTAGCGTCCTCGACCTTAGTTTCGCCTCGCCCGATCTTGACGTATATTGGTCGCTGGACGTGGACACGCGCGGAAGCGATCATCTCCCAGTTTTGATGAGTATACCCAGGGTGGGCCGCTTGCCGCGTCGTCTGTACCATGTAACCAATTGGGACCTGTTTCGGAAAAGTCTTCTGTCTCTCGATCCGTCAGAGGATATCCTAAAAGCCATTCCAAGCTGCCTCGTCCAATCTATAATAAAAATCACACTCAGAGTATTGCAACCTAGCCCGGACTTGAAATTTCTTCGTCTTCGGGCAGCTCGCCGTCGTGCCCAGCGCCGTGCGCTCCGCTCTGGCAAGATCGCCGATTGGGTGGAGTGTCGCCGTATAACGTCAGCCTTACGCCGGCACACCCGAGTACTTCGTCGCAGACAATTTCGCCAGTTCTGCTCGTCACTGACCCCATGTACACCGAAGCCGAAGATCTATAAAGTGCTCAGAGGTATGAGTGGATCTCCGACACCTCGAGACGTGTTCGTTGCTCTTAGTTTAAAAACTGGCTTGGCATTATGTCAACTTGCCGACGAATTTGCGATACGCTTTGTCGTTGCTCCACACTCTGTAAGGTCATCGCGGGCCTATCGCTGACTGGCCCATCGCGAAGTCCGCAGAAACTGGACCACCCCCTCACCATGTCAGAACTGGAAGCTGCTCTTCGAAGATGCAAGCGTCACAGCGCTCCCGGGCCTGATCACATAACATATCAAGCATTACGAAATCTCAGCTATCAGTCACGCAGCTCCTTACTCGAACGTCTAAATTCAGTTTGGTCTTCGGGTGTGATCCCTCAAGAATGGAAACACGCATTAGTAACACCCCTTTTAAAGCGCGGCAAGCCCTCCTCCGAGTCGTCATCCTATCGCCCGATATCTTTGACATCATGCGTTGGCAAGCTTTTAGAGCGCCTGGTCCTTACACGCCTTCAGTAGTTCCTCGACGATACTGAAGCTCTTCCCCCTGAGCTCGCAGGATTCAGAAGCGAACGTTGCACCGCTGACTGCATTGCGACTCTCACGTCAGCATTGGAAGACGCCCGTTCCCAGGGACATACAGGCTTGGCAGTATTTTTAGACGTGGAACGCGCATTTGACTCTGTTCCCCACGATGTTGTTCTTGCGTGCTTGAGACATCTTGGCGTAACGGGAAGGATGTTAAGATATTTCGAAGACTTCCTGAACGGCAGGACTATCAGTGTCCGCCTGGGAACGTTTGAAGGTGCTGTTCGCCCACTGCTGCGGGGACTACCTCAAGGCAGCTGTCTAAGCCCGACACTCTTCAACGTCGTAATGGCAACGCTACCACTGTGCATGGACTCATCACCTCATCCTAGTGGTATGATAATTTATGGTGACGACATTTGTTTGTGGGCTTCCCATTCCGATCGCCGTATACTTCGCCCTTTTATGCAAACCTGCCTTAAGCGAGTTGCAAACATGCTGGAAGACCTCGGTCTCTCCATCTCGGCAGAAAAGACGGCTGTGCTCGCATGTTCCCGCCGTCCTCTTCGCCACGGCTTTCCACGTTTAACTTTATCTGGGATCCGATTGCCACGTGTGCGAAACTACCGTTATCTGGGCGTTGATCTCGACTCACGGCTCTGCTTTCGTCGCCACGTAACTACTCTTGTACGGCAAAGCACGATGACAACCTCTCTTATTCGTAGGCTTCGTGGCCTTGATTGGGGACCAACTCCTCGAGCCCTAACTAACGTGCATCGAGCGCTGAACCTGTCTTGAATTCTTTATGTCGCGCCGTACTTGCCCCCCACTCGCTCTCTGTGGGATCAGCTGGAACGACGTCATCGCGCTGGACTAAGGATGGCCCTAGGACTCCCCTCTTACTCTCGAATAGAGGCAACGTGGATTGAGGCCCAGGAAATGCCAGTATCTTTGCACGCTAAGGAACGGGCTCTTCGCCATCTGGTTCGACTCGCCCAGTCGAACAGCGGTGGTTCTCTTTACGAGGATATCCAACGGCGGCATTGTTCTCATTATGGCAGACACTGCAACACTTTGATAGAGGCGCTCGGATCTACACCAGCTGTTCAGCGTTCTCCAGCCGATTCACCGTGGAGTGAGCATCCATTCACCGTATATGATGACATCCCTGGCTTTCATGGAAAATCACAGCATTCCTCGCTGGTCAGCCGCGCCTTGACGGAAGACGTCCTGGCGTCCCGCCACGCTTCATTTAAGATCATATTCACTGATGGCTCTGTTAATCTCATTAACGATTCCGCGTCTGCGGCATACCATGTCCCATCAGAACACCATTCTTGGTCAGGACGGCTTGATCACGCTGTTTCATCGACTACGGCCTAGCTTTGTGGAATTCACGCAGCTCTCCTTTATATCTTGAAAAGGCCACCAGAAAACTGGCTGCTCGCAACGGACTCCCAGTGTGCAGTGCGAAGCATTCGAAGTGGCAGAGGCGTTAATGCCAACATGACTCGTGATATATTTAACTTGGGACGTCTACTTGTTTTCCGAGGCTGCAACATTCGAGTGCAATGGATACCTTCACATGTTGGCATTCTTGGCAATGAAAAGGCGGACCAACTGGCTTCCAACGCTCTGCTCCTACCTACTGCTACTTTACAGCTTCCGACCCAGACTGACTCAAAAATAGCAATCCAAACCTGGATACAGCATAAGCATCCGGTTTCAAGAATTGCAGCGCATGACCCACCTCCCCCGGCATGTACGCGGGGCTTAACACGCAAGTTTGCTTCCCTTCTTCACCGTCTTAGATCAGATTCCGCTTACACAAACGTTAACTTGTACCGGATTGGAAAAGCGGCCAGCCCTAATTGCCAACACTGTGACCAACAAGAGACAATTGAACACATATTTTTTAAGTGCGAACACTACGCATCCGAACGAATTGAATTCTTGAACTGCCTGAGAGGGGTGGACATTCCTTTCACGCTCGAAGCTACATTATTTCCGAAGGGACCAACTTCCACGTGCATACGGCTGAGAAAATTTGTGTTTTGTTTTTTGGGCGCGTGCGAACTACTCTCAAGACTGTGACTGTGACGTGTAAGAAACTTTAGAACGGTAGCCTATACTTCGTTTCGCCCTATCTGCGGGCGGGGCCGGGGCTGAGAGCGCGGGACCAGCGCTTTTAGCGCTTCTCCCCAGCTCGCGTGCTCGAGCAAGGCCTGAGTGCGCGGAGCTTTCGTGCTCGCGCTTCCAGCTTTGCCTTCGCTCGCACGTGGGGTGAAACGAAGTATAGTTAGGTCGATATAAGTACTCTCATTATTTATTTTGTGCTTGCTGGTGCGCGCTATGGGGTTCTGTCGTGTACAGCATTGTTTGAACATATGTCACAGTTCGTCTTAACGGCCCTAATCATTTTTTTTTTTGCCCGCGAAACGTGTTTAGTCATTATTTTGCTAACGCTTCCCTCGTCATCCCCGAACCCCTTCATCACCATATTTTCCCTTCCCTTTCCCCGCATTCACCCTCATCAACCTACAATAACCCAGGCCCGTGAAACGTGCCCACCGTGAGTGAGGCAAATGTCACGTCTGGCAAACAATACAACCATCCAACCAAACAAATGGCCAGCGTCAGTTTTTGTTCCACTCGGTGGTGCATAAGGTCAGTTCTGTGAGACCAGGTCCACATTACAATAACGGTGCACCAAAGCATGTTACAAGCTGAAGGCAAGCAAGTTACTGACTCAAATCTCTCCGCCATATGAAGAGCTAGAACCTACGCGATGGCTCTCCATTGTTGGCAAATAGGAGCATTACGGCAAGAGCGTCAACCCGAGGGCAACCAGGGGAGGGTCGGGCTCACCTGACCGTGGACAAACAGCAGGGCGGGCCGCTTGGTGGCCTCGCAGCCCTCGCACAGGCGCCACTCATCCCCGAGCTCGAGGGCCAGGCGCGAGACCCGCCCCATGAGCACGCTGCTTCCCATGTAATCCAGGCGGCTCTCCGCCGCCCACAGGGCAAGGGTCAGCGTGTGCACGGGCTCGCGGCCCCAGCTCTCCTGCAGACCCACTACGGGGAGACCGCCGTCGAGTTAGAATCTCCCGACAGATCACTGCAACGAGCTCATTCGTGCAGCCAGACTACTGTAAGCAATTCAATGGTCGCAAAGACTTCACTTTTGTGAATTTCGTAACCTGAAAAATATTGCGAAAAGTTTATCGTGCGAATGTAGCCCCCCGTGGTAACAAATATGCAGAGTGCGACTTTAAGTTGCAAAATATTGTGCCTGAAAAATATTCCCTAGTCCACACTTTGCAAAATCTGAGAAATATTGGGCCCACGATAATATAGACTTTGTAATGGCAACTGACATTTCATCACTGCTGAGCTTAGCGCTATCGTGTTGCCCTACTGTGCTCGTTGTTGTCACCCCTGCGCCACTTTGGTGGCACGCAGTCAGAAAGCAAGAGCCTTCATAGTATGTGCAGTCCACTTTGCTACAGCCGAACGCACAGAGGAAAGTCCTTGCTCCGAAGGCAGTCGCCGACTGTACCTTCCACGTTGTACGCTTTCCCTACACTACGTCGCAACGAGGGGCAAGAAAACGGAAGGGATGGCCCTATATAGGCTATGCACTTAAAAGCCGGTTCACTGCGAGTGTGAATGTGGCCGAGCTCAATGGCCCCGCCCACGATGCCGCCTTTCACGTCCAGGCTGGAGCCATCCAGGTCCACTGCCAGGCTCATGTCCTTGTGGCCTCGGCTGTCGATGGCCAGCCGCCCTTGGGACCTGAACCCCTGGGTGAGCCACCTGCGTGCCACACCCAGTCGCCACTTCATGCCGCCACACCTTTCAAAGACACCTCATAGCTACCGCAATATTGAAGAATAAATTTCTCAACACGGGGGGGGGGGGGGGGGGGGGAGGCCATTGTGGAAAGAGACGTAACGTCACAAACAGATAGTCACTGATAAAGTGTGCATGGTCACACGGCACAATGAAGTTACAGTGTCATATGACACGGTGGCGTCGTGTGACCACATGTCATGTAGCATAGGCATGTCACATGACCATGTGACATTCGGAGGCACTCATGTAGACGGAAGTAAGGCGACATTCATTCAAATGAGTGTTGGTCCGGACAGATTCCCCATTCGCTGGAGTTTGGTTGGCGGCAGCTCATTTCAAGCAAGTTTTCACCCGCAGAACAGTCGAACTAGGACGTCCTGTTTTCCCTAACAGCACTCCTAAAAACGCACCAAGGCTCACGCATGACCTATCTCCTCTTGCTTTTGGGGGGCTGAAAGCACGAGCGAGCAAGCCAGAGGGTTAGAGGTGCTCGAGCACTCACGACGTGTTGCCCATGACGTTGCCGATGTTCATGTGGACGTTGAGCCGGGACAAGTTCAGCGCGTACAGCAGCAGGGTCTCCCACGCCTGACCCGGGGCCCGGGCAGGAGCCGGGCGCTCGGGCGGAGCTGCGAGAAGCCGGCGGGAAAGTTGTCCCGACTGTGGACGAGCCGTAGGAGGGTTGTTTCAGTAAGCTTATGGTGCCTGCAACGCGTCTCCAAGTGGCGTGTTTAGCATCCTATTCTGCCCATGCCTCCAAAGTGGTCCCAAAGTGGCAAGAAATTGCGTCGCAGGAGCTGGTGTGTCGTGCCGTCGGACGTCGCGATCCTCGCGGTCGCTTGTAGAAGATTAGGCAAAAAGCACGAGAGAATGAAGTGCTGCCGTCGTCGCAGCGTCCCGACTCCCGATTGCCACAGCTTCCGTGGACTGTCCATGTGGACACTGATTTGCAGTAGAAGAGGCGTCTGCTACGTCTACCTCTGCTGCCGTGGCACCAGCAGGGTCGTGGCAGGCGATGCACGACACTTCTGCGACGCCGTCGGGAGGAAATTGAGGGACCACTTTTGAAGAAGCGCAAAGACACCATACGGACATGTATAGCTAGTTCCTGTCCTTTTTCCGGGGGGGGGGGGGGGGGGGGGACCTTTCGTCGCCTACTGCCCACGTTTGGCGGGAGCCCCCAAACGGGGCCAGGAAGTGCCCGATAGGGAGGGACCTACCTGCGTCCTCCTCGGGAGAGTCCAGCTCGAGGCTCCCGGAAGGGAAGGAGTCAGCCCTGCTCGGGGACAGGGTGCCGCTACTGCTGCTCGTCTCTGCCGCCGAGTCTTCCGCTGCATAACCGTCGCCGAGTTTCGCAAATGTCGAGGCCTTCCCGAAAGACGGGGCATGCAAGCGGCAGTACTGTGACATGAAGCACCGCCGAGTGCAGCGGGAATGTGCCAATCGTAGCACAACCAAAATATCGTACGGGCTCGATCGTGCTGACAAAGACCAGAGAACACAATATGTGTCCTGCACAAAGCACACTCCGTGTGTGGCTTGTGCCAGATTTTTCTATCTTTTAATTAAGCACTTAATTTATTTGTTTATTCTATTTTTCATTTTCTTATTTATCTTTTAGTTTTATTTTTATTTGTTTATTTATTTATTATTATTATTATTATTTAATAATTTATTACATTCATCCAAGGCCTGCCACTGTCACCGGCACTTTTGCATTCAGTTTATGAAACCCGGCATACGGACAATGTGCCACTTCCAGAACCTGCCCCAAAAAACATTTGTGTTGGTCTCCAACCTGCAGCTATGTAAGCGGAACTGTGCTAGAAAAAAACGTCAAAAGGTGTTCCAACCCCATAGCAGTTAAAATGCCTTTGCTCATGTCTGCATGAAACTGCAGTCTGTCGCACACATTACGCGCTGCACCGAACGGATTGTCCATGAACTGGCGCTTGAACTGCCGGTCAGCCGCCGTGTAATAGCAACTGACTTCCTGCCATTACCAGGCCTGGCGCCACAGTCGCCAATTGCACTCTGTGCATTGCACGCCCTATCGAGGCTACATTCCAGACTAGGACACTAAAGTGCTAGAGCTTGCCCTACAAATGCTATGCATATAAGACGGCTTCTTCCCTCTCCTCGAGAGTACCGTATTTTTGCGGAATACAGTCTGCGGACTATACACGTCTAAAAATTTTAATTTTACGTGGTGCAGAGACTATCTATAGGTGCAGACTACACGAGGATTTATTTTCAATAGATTGTTTATTATGACGAGACCCAACAGATTTTCTGAATGACGGTACAATAATGATAAGTTCCGAATAATACAAGCTTCTTTGTGAGCCAAGAAAGCGGCCATTCGTGAAGGTGTGCTGTGGACATTAAATTTTTACACGGGGACTAGGCACCGAGTGTCGGACAATGTGCAGGGTGTGGACTATGGTTCGGTAAATATGGAAGCAAACATACCCGGGTTCCCGAAGGCGGAGCCTGCGGTGGCGGAGTCCCCCAGGAACATGCGGCGAGCGATGCTGCGCCGGTACCAGGCCTTGGGGAAGGCCAGGATCTCCGTGAGGCGCCGCATGTCGTACTTGAAGGAGGCCGAGCCCACGTCACACAGGGCCGAGAAGCGGATGAGAGCGCGCCCGCCGTCTGGGCCCAGGTGGCGGCTATGGCTCATGTTCACCTGTGGCGGGCGTCGGCGGCACATTGAAGGCCACTCTTGGGGTCGCGGCAATTACGACAGCGACTACTTTCATGCCAATGCCACCCAGAAGACAAAGCATGCACGTTAACGCCGTCAGTGCATCCAAACTGCCCCGAGCGGAAAACAAGGTAAAGCTGGACGAGAGACTAGTATCGCACTCGACTAGCCAGCCAAGCATGTCGACTAGCCGGCCGAGCATGAGGCTTCGTGTGGGCTTTGAAAAACAGCTCGCGACTGCATCTTCTGCCCTTGTCACGCACGCTTGCAGACGCACCGTGTCACAAGGCACACACCTTGACGAACTCCACCTGGAGGGAGAGGGAGTCCTTGCGCTCCAAGACGGCCAGCGGCGACGCGTCTGCCGCCGACGAGGGCATCTTTTTGGCGCCGCCGTACGGGTGGAAGATGTAGAGGGAGAAGTCGGCCAGACAACCCGTGGCCGAGAGGCCGCCCACGGGGCCCTCGTCGGCCCGCTTGGACGAGAAGGCCAGGTCCAGCGAGGGCAGCCGGAGCAGGCATTCCACCCGCGACACGGGCAGGCAGCTAAAGCGCAGGATCGACGGCTGCATCCGGGAGTACACGATCACGTCCACTGGGAACGAGCTGTACTGGCTCTCCTCAAACACCAGGGCGGCGTCTGCAAAGTCGGAAGGAGAACCCTCCGGGTGTTGACCCGAAGATCCTGATATCAACCCCCCCCCCCCCTCCTTCTCCATCTGGACGAGCATGGCAAAAGAGCACGGTCATGTATCACTACTGCGTGATGCACATTAAAGACCCCACGATAGCAGTAGCACTGCACTAGCTTACTTCATCACCTACAAGGTAAACCAGTGTCGCCATAGCTCAAAGGCAAACCGCCCTGTGCTATCAAAACACAAACGTCTCATTTGGTCTTGGTTTTTTTCCTGGGGAGACGTCTGCCTTCGCCGGAGGGACACATTCTTATACGACAAACTGGTCACACAAAAAATTTCTTTGTAAGGAAGCATGGTATATGAAGTATTGTGCTAAAGATGTGTTTTTTTTTTTGTTGAAGAAAAAGAAACATGATCGATGGTCTAAAATTAAAATACAACAGTACAATATTAGTGGCTTCCTTCTGCTTTATGCCAAAGTGTAAATGTCAGAGCCACAGCAACTTCGGCATCAAAAGTGCATATTTCCTATCATAAAGTAAGCTTGTTATTAAAAGTAGCGAAGGTCCACTAGAAACAGCCTAATTTTTGGCTGATAGCTAGTGACAAAAAGATACGTACAGCAACTTAATGTAAACATTTCATCACTTTTGTCTCCAATTTTCTTTTTCAGCTCACATGCTATCATTTAAATTTCTAGCAAAGAAGACCGTGTGTATGTGGCACACCAACACGGGCAATGAAACTTGACACTTGATGCTAATCTTTTTGAAAAAAATTAGACAATAAAGCGACATGTCGTTTTCACGATAATTGGGTCACACAGTGTATCGATTAAAAACTGGTTCCCTCACTTGCAACTAGTTACAACCGTGTGCATCATATTAAAACCTCATGGTGTAGTACGCCCGAAATCACGCACGAAAACAAAGAAAGAACTGGACAGGACTGATATTGTCCAGCTCTTCCTTCGTTTTCATCAGTGTTTTTTGGCGGATTACACCATGTTGAGCAACCAACTCGCCCAACTAGCCATCCCTATTTAAATCTCCTAAGATCTCTTCAACGAGACACATCGGCGCCATCTATTGAGTAGCCAGAACACTCTGCATTTCCGTATATTTATTATTTTTTTTGCGCATCATTCTTTCTTTCTTGACTTGGAGAACTTTCGATCATGTTACAAATAACCATTTCTTATAAATACTAGTGCCGTAAAACAACGAGCATCCGCCCATTCCTCGATAAGCACCTAGCTCTCAATTTTGTAATGCGTGCAAAATACAGCAAAGACATCTTTACACATTCTTGACCTAAGAAGAACCTGTCCCCAAGTTTTACATGATTATCCCTAAATTTGGATGGGCTTTACGGGCTTTACGGGACATAATATTGATTTCGTAAATACCGCAAAACCTTTGCTCTAGCGAAGTGCAGTTCCAGAGTCACCTCATAGACAGCACCAGCACGCCAGTGTGCCCTCTTGTCATTAGAGATCACAAGAACTCTGCCGTAAGCAAACCCAAATGTGTGAATGGGCCTTTATACTTGGAAGGTGGTTTCAAAGTAAAAGCACTGTTGCCTCTCACCTCAAGAAATAATGCAGCACATATGTTTTCAATTAAATTGAGCTTGCTCACTCTCCCAAATGCAATTTATGTTTTCAGTAGATCTGTCTCTCTCTTGAATCACTGAAAATTGTAGAAAAACATAATTTTTTCATAATAGCAGACCCCAAACCTAGAGCCAAGCCCCAGTGAGCCAGTGTATCGAATGAGGGGAAGTTTTTAGTTTAAGTAGAGGCACTGGGGGCATGCAGCGGTCTTGGGTACTCTGACTCACCCAGTGATGCAACGGGAGAGGCCTTGGATGCCTGCTGCAAGGGAATAGCCTCCAGGGCTTGCTCCAGGAAGTCCAGAATGTGGGGGCTGATCACCGTCTCCTGCCAAGACAAGGGGCCTTCATCAGCTAGGGGCCCTCATAAAGTCCGATTTCAGTCCCTGGTGAGAGCGAAAGCTTCTTCGCCTGTCGGTTGGACGTGCTGTCGTAGTCGTTTGCTGGGCGAGCATTACTGACCAATGAGAAATATTTTATTGGTTTGCGAATCCAGGACATTTTATTGAGAAACATTTTCTCGCCTACACACGAACGGGGAGAGAAGTCTTATGATGGCAGATGTGCTTGTTCCGAGCACTTCTTTGTTCACCGGTGGATGTGAGCATCTGTACAGCAGCCTTTGTAAAATAGGAAACAATCCCAACTTCAGCGTGCATTCAACATTACTTCGCTGTAGCACTCACCTCTCAGCAGACGGGCCACCTTTTTTTTTATCTGTAAGCAGATAATGCGCAGGCGTTTCCTTGCTTTAGTTTCGTCTCAAATGACACCTTGGAGCCCACGAGTCATCTGCTAAAGACATCTTAGCTCGCGCTGCAAGATCCAAATTAGATCCCACTCTCGTTCTCACGGAGACCAGACCCGTACCCCTTGCCCTGTGCACCCATCTCCGGAATGCTCTGCAAGGTGATCCAGGCAAAGAGGGTGGCCTTCCTGAGGCCACCCTTGCGAGCAGGTGGCTCCAGTCCCACGGGGCTCTCTCCACCCACTGTCCACGAGTTGTAGTGAACCTGCGGACGCAGAGCCTGCCCTGTATACCACGAGTAACCTTCCCGCATTCCAACCTCACGGCCTTGGTCAGTTATCTTAACATCACAGATTTGCAGCAACTGTAAAGCAAGGGGGAGTGCAAGTTCATCTGCTTCTTTTGCAGGTGTTGTGGTGATGTCAGAATGCCGAGCTCTGATCGAAGGATAGTGGGTAGACCTCAAAACAAGTTGCCTTGAGGTCTAACCACTATCCTTCAATCAGACCTCGGTGTTTTGACGTCACCCCGACCCAGTGACGAGTCCAGCGGGTCTGAGTTGCAGTGAACGACCGATGCCCACTATGGCCTAAGAACACAGAAAAAATGTTACTGGCAACTGACATTCCAGGTTGAAACTGGCTAATGGCATGATTTATTTCCTTCTGTGTCCCAAGGACGAGGTGGTTGGTGGCCAAGTCTGTTAACACACCACAGCTTGGCGCACGTGGAGCGAAAGCTCACACTGCAGGACCCAGAGATCTTGGGCTTGATCCCCACCCCTGCCCATTTTGATCTGGATGAGCATCGCACCAGCGTGTGCTCGTGTAATAACTACTGCGTGATGCACGTTAAAGACCTCAGGCTAGTGTTTGCACTGCACTGGCTAAATTTCTTGCCTACAGCAGAGACACCAGACGGCCACTGGGGCCAACTTCCCGCTGTCTAAACATGCACACAACACATTTTGTCTTAAAGGCCAACTTACAGAATCGTTTTCTGCCAGACAGAAAACCGGTTTCCAGTTCCCTTCCCAGCTCCTCACTGCAGTAAAGAGGAAAATAGGCGGACGAGCAGCCAAAAAAGAGGAAACTTTCCTTCAATTCCTCCTCTCCATTCAAGAAAGAGGGAGACGCTCCTTTCTGCGGGGAGTAGCTCAGAGACCCACTCCTGCAGGGAGAGGAAAAAAAGAGTGCAAGAAGGAATCGAAAGAAGGAAACTGGGAACCGGTTTTCTTCCCAACAGAAGACGATTCTGAAGGTCAGCCTTTAAGGATCCTGAAGAGATGGAGAAGAGATGAAAAAGGGATTGTGGAGATCGAGCAGAGGGCTCCAACGCACCTTGACATCCAGCCCCGGCACAAGGAAGATGGTGAAGTCTGCCACCTGCGTGGTCGTGGCCGCGGGGGCGAAGCGCATCCAGGACGACGACGGGTGGCTGTGGGGCCCGCTCCGGCGCCGCGTGGGGGAGCCCCCCTCGGGGAGGCCCCCCGAGAAGCTGCGCTCTTTGCGCATGGGACGTGCCCTGTAACAGGACGTGCCTAAGAGCTCAATGAGAACCCAAGCAGATTGTCATCTATTCTAACGGAGCATACTGTCTCATCGGTAATCTGCTCTCACCAAACGTCTGTTCTCGCAGAGCATCTCACAGAGCACCTGTTCTTTACAGAGCATCTCATGAAACATCTGTTCTCACGAAGCACCTCCCAGAGCATTTGTTTCCGCCGAGAATCTCACCGAACATCTTTCTCATGAAGCATCTCGTGAAACATCAGTTCTCATGGAGCGTCTCACAGAGTATTTACCCTATAGGACAACCTGGCCGCAACAGTATTTCCTACTCCTCTCCCACTAACACCTCCAATAATAGAGATACTGAAGGAAGGCTTTGACAGCACCCTGTGTTCCACAAATATCCGAAACAACTGCAGGAGCCCCTCAAAATGGCCGCTGACATTTCTATTGTCACTAACATGGTGAAAACGGCAGGGAGTCTCTTTCGGACGCCTGGCATTCAGCATGCGCTCATCACTTTCTGCCGTGCCTTGGATGCGTGCACATGCACAAAGCTCACGAGACGCTGAAGTTTAATTGATGGTAAAAAGCTCGCACTGAGGCAGGACTATTGAAACTCCTCACTGCGATTCTCGTCTTGTCGGCGACTAGAGTGAGACAGCTTCATACGGGCCTCTGGTCACGTCCTGCAATGTGCGGCTTCCTTCTTCCGAAGTTGGTTCGGAAAACAATGGGCCCGTGCCCATCCGATACCCGAGCATCCATTCCGAGCCGCCTCTTTCGCAGGTTGCGTGCAAGCTACCACAAAGGTGACCTTGGCACCCCAATAAACCGTTCCAAAGACCCTCAAGAAGAGTGGCAGATTGCCCCAACGCACATCCTGAGGGCCTCCTCCTCCCTGGCGGGGTCCCTGGTGTGCAGGACGCACTCCCCGCTGTTGAAGAACACCTTGATGTCCAGCTCAAAGTCGATGCTGGGCTCTGCCTGTTGCCGGCTGCCCTGCGGGGCAGTGGGCGGGCTCTGGCCCCCGTGCGCGTCACCAGATCTGCGAGGGACAGATGCGGGTTCGCTCGCGCGTTTTCACATAGAATGTTTTCATGGACTGTTCTCTAGGTTTAAGGCATTACAAAGAGTGGTAACAAAAACATGATAAAATGGGCATATGACGATCACGAGATTGATGTCAATATGGGACATGTGACAATGTAACCCCTAGTGGTGCACGTGACACATAACCCATAGTGGTGCCAATATGAGACACCATTATGGGTTATGTGGTCCTGTCACATGTGGCCATGTAATTGACACCAGACATCCCAGTGTCACGTGAAATCACTCAATGTCACGTGAAGCTGGGACATCTGATGACATCATGTGATGTCCCAATGTCACGTGACACCAGTATGTAAGTGACGTCACATGACATCATCATAGGGTTGGTGTCATAGGACCCCGTCGCCAAATGTAGTGTGAAAACGTCATACGCCGTGCTGCAACACTTCCTCGAGTTCGCATTTTGCGTAATTCAGTACATAGGATTGAGTCGATTGATTTCTCAATGAGCGAGGTGGGGCCGGGGCTCACGTGGGGACTTGGGGGACCTCGTCCTGGGGACTCGTGGTCGGCTCAGAGGGCTCACTCGTCGGAGTCGGTGCACCGCTGTTGCTCATACTCGTCTGCGAGAGCACGCTGTCCAGGGACAGCTCCCTGGAAGAGGTCGTAAGACGTCTTCGCTTGTCCAGCTACCAAGCCTAACTAGCATGTGCTGGCTCAACTGCTTGTTATCGCAGTGAAATCAAACCAATAGCTGTGTTTGATTGCTGATACTTTTTCTCTCGTGGTTTTGCTCCGGTGCGACCAACACAAGCAGGCAAGGTTCAAACGGGGTTCTCACATAAAGCTATCACTCTAAAGCAAACAGAGCAAGGGACACGGAAAAAAAAGGGGAAACAAATACACCAAAGTATGGCAGTGCGATCATCTTCTCTTTGTGTCCTCTGCACCGTTTGCTTTCAACAACACCTTGTGGGAGCGGAGGGAGGCCCAGCGTCCTTGCCTGTGCACGAGGGGCCTCCTAGGGGATGCGGGCAGGTCTGACATGTCGAGGGAAGCCGTGCGCACGTGTACCCCGGCCTCCTTGGCCCCCCCGGGGGATGAGGAGACCCCGCTCGACGTAGGGGGCGGTGCCTGGCCGTGCTGGGGGGGCCCCTGCCGGGTCTCCTCCTCGGGGGTGCCTGGCACGAGCCGTGACATGGGGCCCAGCCCCAGTTTTTCCTTGATCGAGGCCACCTGGAGACCACGGAGCAGACAAAGACGCTCGGACAAATGGAAACGTCCTTCTACCAGTCTGAGCTTACTTTTCCAACAGAGAAGCAGCACACTGCTTTAGACTGTACTTCATTTCAATGTAACTTGGCAAACGACGAAGGCTACGGTCCTGTTAAGCAAATCACCGCATTGGAGAGAGGCATAAAGAAACATCCTTCTTCTATGAGTCTGAAGCTTACTTTTTCGATAAAGAAAAGACATATTGTTCTGAACTACGGTGCCTGGAAACCCATCTCCAACTGGTGTGTGGACAGCGCTTGTCCTGTCTAGTCCTCCCCTTCCTTGTCCTTGTCTCTTTCGCGCTGTTTTTACACAACGAACTCGCACTTGCCCAATTGTCCATTCTACCAAGTGTTATTTCTTCTACAAAAAGCCTCTTTGTTATGTCAGCACTTATCCTGTGTAGTCTCCCTTTTCTTTTGCTTGTCTCTTTCGCGCCGTTTTTTTCATAATGGTAACTTTCGCATACTCAATTATGGTTTCTCAATTTGTGCCTGAGCGTATATGTCACAGATGTGCCTCGATCCTAGAGGTGGCACAGCGATAGAGGCAGGTGCAACAAACGCTTGTTTTGTTGCAGCTCGTTCAACACCTAGACAGTTCGCGGAAGTTTCAGCAGCCAGAAGCAGGGGCACCACGATGACGGCGACACTTGCGTTACTCCCCTTTTTTGCCTCAACTTCCGCGACTAACAGTCAAGATCATAACATCCAATAACGCGAGACTCCGGCTCCTGTGACGTAATTAGTTGCCACTTTGGGACCGTGGGCAACAGAGGTCGCCGAGCACACCAGTCAAAGACGCTTTCCGTGCACCGCCTTCTACACTAATGTCAGTTCTAAATGAGTTGATACAGTTTACCTTTCTGACATTGAGGTATATCTCTTGGTTCCTAGCCGAGGAGCAGCGCACAGCCGCAGCACTGATGCTATAGTAAACCTATGTAAGCAAAAATGCCCACGCTACTACTAGGTGTTTGGCTTCTAGCTACTATACATCAATGGGTGACTTAGATCTACTAAAATAGAGCTTAAACTGGAAAAAGAGTTTACTTGGAGAAGACAGGGAAGGTAGATAAACTTTAGGAGCAGGGAAACCCCAAGTTCCTAGGAAACCACTTTGCAAACGTACGGTTCAAATCTACCATGACAGGGGTCTCGCAGGGAGAGCGGGTAGGCAGGCCTCTCCAGAAAACAAGAGTTAATGTAATAATCTAGAGAGAAAATGACCAAGCATTTCGGACGCTTCGAAACAACGGGGCATAGACGCAGACATCGGTGGTCCCGTTGGTGGTCCCGTTAGGCCCATATCGCTGGCTACACTTTGATATATACAAAAAGAGTGACTTTCTAGCTTTGTATTACACGAAAACGCCGACCATTGCGCATTACATAAAATAAATAAAGTTGACGATTACTTGAACAGCTACCGCTCGTTGCGGCAAAGCGAATGCACCTAACCTATCGTCTGCTTTCTTTCTCCGCTCTTTCGTCACTCTCTTTCTCATTATTTCTCTCCGGACCACCAATGTAAGCGCTTATAATTTGATGCGTTCTGCTCCTGTTTTGAGCCCCTCTGGTGGTGAGGTGGCATCTGAGCGTACCTTGACGCTCTGTCTGTGCAGCTTCTTGATGAAGTAACGACGGAAGTCGTTAAAGACGGCCGTCTCAAGCTCTTTGAGGCGGCGCTCTTCCTGCTCGATGGTGCTTTGGCTGGCCCCCAGGAAGCGTAGGTCGCTGATGATCTTGGCCTGCTCGTTCATTTCCTTTTCAATCAGCCGGGACCGCTTTTTGGCGTCATGCAGACATGCATGACGCAGGGTCACGGGCTCCTGCGACAAACGCCCGACACCCAGGCACACGCATTTGAATACTTAGTAATTGCAGTAGAACAATAAATATGTGCTATGACTGAGTTTCGAAGCCACTGATCAAGAAAGGAAATTGGGTGTTCCTGTTTAAACAGTGCAAGGTCGATCTGCCTCTGATATGATGACGACATTCCTTTATGCGGTAGATGAGATATTTAGTCACTGCTGTGCCACTGCTAGCCTGGAGTCTTTAATATGCATCATGCAATAGTGATTACATGAACACAAGCCGGAACAAAGCTTATCCAGATCAAAACGGGTGGGGCTCGGGATTGAACCCAGGATGAATGGGTTCTGCAGCGAGAGCTTTCGCTCCATGTGCTCGGAGCAGCAGTATGTTAACACACTTGGCCACCGATACTCCTTTTGCGTTCGGTTGTGACTCTTGTTTAATCAGTGGGAACACAAATCCCAGCCAAATGCTCATGCAGCGCCCGTGTCCAATCTGTGTCCCGCATTGGCCTCCAGTAGGTGATAGAAAAAATCCAGCACCACTGCCTCGTTATATCTAGGAGCTGTTGAGCGGTGCCTGGGTGGTTCTGGGTGCTCAAGAAACACAAATTAAGACAAGGAGCTTCAGGAACACCCCTTGAGACTAGGGGTGTTCCTGGGGAGCTCCTGATACGCCTTGTGCAAATAGGGGTCTTCCTGGGGAGCTTCAGGAACAACTGTTGAAACTAGGAGTGTTTCTAGGGAGCTCCAGTAAACACTTTGAGACAAGGGGTGGTTTTTGAGGAGCTTCTGGTACACCTTCTGAGACTATAGGTCTTTTCAAAGTGCTTCAGGAACGCCCTCTGAAACTTGGTGTGTTCCTGAGGAGCTCCAGGAACACCCATTGAAACTAGAGCTGTTCCTGGGGGACTCCTGGCACACACACCTGAGCGGCCTGCTCCTCGGGGCTTCCCCCGTCGTCCCCGTCCCCCGTGAGGGCCGTCAGGGTGCGGAACAGCGTCGAGAGAGCTTTGCTGATGCTCGTGTCCACGTGGATGTCCACGCCCTCTATCTGCCACAGCACGTTCAGGATCCACTTCGCATTGCCTGCGCACCGGGAAGATGTTGGGGACATCACTGCACGGAGAGAGTCGTCGCTGACGCCCTTACTGCCGGCCTGCGCCACAATGGTGCGCGAGCAGATCTCGTACGTGCCCTCCGAGACCACGCACAGGTTCGTGGTGCTTGAATCGCTCGGGTCAGGCTTCCAGTCGTCCAGGGAGACCTCAAAGTCCTCCGCAAAGCGCAAACACAACCCTGCAACAGGAAAACCGCAAGTTGACTCGAGTGCTTTGATTTCTCTGTCGGACATCACTTTAGTATCAACAATTAGTTATTTATTTTACTCCAAGGACACGGAAGCATTGCAGAAAAAAGTGGAGAATAAAAAAACCCAAGAAAAGAAACAAAAGCAGGAGCAACACAATGAATACTCAAACAATAGGGAACTGGAAGTTAGCAATAGTTTTACAAAAGAAAGCGTAGTCAGCACTCAGGTAAGCAATTCCAGTCATTAGTAGTATAATGGGACACTAAAAATTAGTGTGATCTAAAGAACCCACAAGCAGAATCTCACGTCTCGACCATTTGCCAATGTCCTCCCATGAGGAAGAAAAAGCAACATCTACCCACCTGTGAAACGTGTCTTGCTCACGAGAGATCCGCAGGAGCAGGCCGAGATGCGGGTGTTCTCGAGGGTCACCACCACTGCCGCCGTACTGTCCGACTCGTACAGCCGGCTGTTGGTCAGTGCCTGCAAGTCGGTAGTGCACATTAGTGTGAACACATCCGTTGGGGCACAGTCCTCGTCACATCAAAAAGCTGCGGTGCCTGAAAAGTATCTCCGGCTGATGACTTTACCGAGTTCTCAAAAGTGGTCTCTCGATTTCTGCCACGAAATAGAAGTGTCGTGCGGTTGCCCGCCACAATTTCGACAGTGGCACAATGGCAGAAGCAGGTGCAGTAGATGTCGGTTCTTCTGCAAGGTTTCTCTGCAGTTTGACAGTCCACGGAAGCGTGGGCAGCCAAGATTTGAGACGCTGCAACGATGGCATTCACTCATGCTTTTTGCCGGAACTTCTAGGACAAACCGCCAGTACCGGTACGTCTGAGAGCGTGACGCTCCGGCTTTTCCGACGCCATTTGTTGCCACTCGGGAACAACTTTCGATGCATGGGCAGAATAGGTCGCCGGACGCACCGGTCAGAGATGTGTTCTAGGCACCATAGCAAGAGCTAACGGAAAAGCCCGGTGCATTCACCCCCTTGCTGATGGGCATGCAGATGCCCAGGTCTTGAACTGTCAGCTGCAGGAACAGGTTCCCAAGGGACTGACTGCTGAGCTGCGAGAACTGGGGCACACGTTCAAACACCTGCTGCGTAGCCGTCAGCACCTGAAACAAAGAGTGGATGGAGTCGCGTCGTCGGACGCTCCCTAAAATGGCGGCCGCAATCGGGCACACCTCTTTATTGAGGCTGCCCCTCTGCTCGTTCCAGTACTCGTAAGCGTTCTTGTAGTTGAGCCACACCAGGACGGCTGGAATAAAAAGAGGGATGTTCGCTCACTCGGAGCTATTCGACGAGTTTTATCCTAACAAAACTCCGAGGATAACACGTCCCTCATCTCGCTAACTATGAGGGCAGAAACCGAGGGAGAAGGGGAGACGATGGCGTGCGGGGACGTCAGAACGCCGAGCTTTGGTTGGAATCATTAGAAGGCAGACGCAAAGCTACCTGCCTTTCTCTCCGCTTCACTCGTCGGATATGTTCCAATGCAAATTCCAACGTTGACGCTCCGCGTTCTAGCGCATTCCAAGAGCGCAATAGAGACAAAAGCATCTAGCTTTGCATCTACCCACTGATCATTTCAACCAGAGGTCGGCGTTTTGACGTTCTCACTTGCTCTCGTCTCCTCCTTTCTCTCAGTTCCCGCCCGCATATTGACAGAAAGAGAGCAGCAGGATATCTCTTTCAAATGCCCAGGGTTCAGCCCGTGCCCATTCTTTTTTGCCGCGCTTTGGCTGCAAATGCACGCTAAAGGCTCGTGAGACGCCAAAGCGTTATCAAAGTTAAAAAGCTCGTGCTAGAGGCAGGATAGCTGAGACATCTCCCTGTCTTGTCAATGATCATAGACGCCATGTCCTAGATTCGTTGAGTGCCCCTCGCACGGTGCGCTCACCTTTATCCAGGGCCACTGGCTGGAAGTAGATCATGGGCCGGTTCAAAGTAACGAGGACCGCCTCCTTGTCGTCGTACTAGCTGGAGATCATCTCGTCCAGTGGCCAACAAAAAGGGGGCATCTCAACCCAACGACAACATGCATTTTGCCCGGCCAGGTAGGCTCACCTGCAACGCATTGCGCAGGCAGATGCGAGTTTTGAAGAAAGCAAACTGCAGCAGCTCCGCCTCTTCAAACAGAGTATTCTGCAAACCATACAGTGCCCTCAAAACCATCAGTGACTGGAGTCGCACAGGAGCAACTCAAGCTTTGAGGGGATGCTCAAATATACCCGAGAGAACAAACCAAAGTCACTGTCCACAACGATGCTTCTATGGTCTCATGCTCTACTTGGTTTCACAGGAAGAGCTGTAGCATTTGCGAAGCTTCCTTGCCATAGAGACACGAAAACTGCCACACCACCAACTTTTCTGGCTAACTGATTTTGAATTACAGAGGTTTCCGATTGCAGCAGACCTTTTGCAAAAGTCCCGAAAGACCACGTGTGAAGCAAACACTAAATTACAGAAACATCCTTGCAACCGCATCATTTACCCCATGACATCGGAGAGAGTAAAAAGTGTCAAGTAGTGCAGCTGCTCCCTCACTCATCCGCCTGCGCATCCTCCGTCCTCTACTCTAGCCTGTCCTCTACAGGCTGTTACAAACATTCTTTTCGGCACTTCAGACACTGTTTCATACTTTGCGAAAGGTCTATAATGAAGGTAAACATGAGGGAAGTTGAGGGGACCGACTAGTGATGCTGGCTTGTTTGGAATCCTGAACACCTTTAATTTCAGCACCTCCGAGCCACGGAGAAGCCGCCGTTGAGACATCGACGTGGCAGCGGCCGAGAAGCGTTGCCCTCACCTTGAGGAGCTGTCTCTGGGCGAGGCTGAGGTCAACCTGGCCCTTGCCGAAGAGCTTCATGGCCGAGACGGCCCGGGAGGCGTTCTGGGCGCGGTTGGAGAGCTGCAGGTCCAGCGTGCCCGTCTGCAGGCGCACAGCGCTGGCCGTCGGGGTGGTGGCCGTGAGGCGGATGCCCCGCAGACGCAGCTGGAGCGAGAAGAGCAGGCGGCCTCCCCTGCCCTCCCCCCCCCCCCCCCCAGGGCCCCCTCCCACAGCCGCAGGGGCCGAGTGCCAGACATCTTCTGCACCACCTCGTTCACCTCCTGCGAAGACGCGGGACGTTAGGCACGGATGCCGTGAACAAAGGGGCCTGGGTGCTACACGCACTCCAGCCGGGAGGACGGCTGCTGCACTAACTTTAATGTTGCAAAAACACCTTTCAACCTTCCAGCAAACTATTGAGAACAGAAAAGACGAGAAACTGTGATAGTCTTAGCATTCTGTCTTCTTTTTTAACTTCTTAACAGTCAGTGAGAGAAAAAGCTCTAAACTTAACTCAAATTATTTTTTTGGGGGGTGTGCACTTAATTTTAAAGTGGTTCTGAAGAGGCAATTGATATCCCATTTTAGTTTGCGCTGTTTACCTAGCTTCAATAGTTTGCTATTCAGGTTTGAAGCAACACAATTCTTTCGCAAGAAGAGCTCTCACGAGAACATCGCCATAGAACCTTTGCATAAGTTCGTACATCACTCTCTATAGGGACCGCCTATGACCCGTCGTATGTATTTTTGCAACAGGCAGCCAAATAGTGCTATTTCGTCACTGGCAACTGCTTTTCTTTTTTTCAGTTTCCAGAGCTTTTTTACGTTGGAAAATCTCCCATCCGATAGTTTTTTTGTTTTTTTTTCAACTAATGCTTTCGCATCTGAACGTTTCTTAGTGGGGAAAAAAAGAATTTTCCTCTGGACTAAGATAAGACCAATTGTAGCAACGTGGCAACACTGGCCCGGAGAGCCCACAAGGGTGCCCTAAGAAACCCCTGGGGTCCTACAAACCCAGTTTGAGAACTGTTGCAGGGTGCCCAAAAGAGGAGCTTACCAAGGGGGCTGGGGAGGTCCCCACCTTCGTGAAGACCTTTTGAACGAGCACCAAGTGGTTGAGCAGGTCCGTGGTCAGGCTGTGCTCGAAGGTGCCAATCTCAGCAAGGGCACTCAGGTAGCTGCCACGACGCAGCACCACGCCGTCTGCGTCCCGCTGCGAAGGACTCCCGGGGTCCTGGAGGTACTCGGCCGCCACGTGCGCCATGGCAAAACGTGAACCCACCCCGTAGAGCACGTCACGCGATAGAGTGCACAGAAACTAAGATAGCTGCAGACTTGGGTCCAGAGCTAAGGCCTTTAATGCCGCCTGGCATTAATCAAGCGGCGGTGTGCACTCCCGAAACAACGAACGTTGTGCAATTCATTACCAGAATCGCAGCAAGTCCATTAACCGGAATGGCACGAAGCAAGGAAGGATGTCCTGGTTAAGTTGTGGGAAGCTGTCAAGAATCTAAGTAAGTACAACCACGAGCTGTGGGTACTCGTTCGATTCGCTGCTCAGATTATGAGCTGGCGTCCCGATTAAACCTGCTGATCCGGCGGGTTAATGCCGGCTTGGTGGGCTTAATAATCATTCAGTTATTAAGTGCATTATGACCCCAATACATGTACAAAGATGAACCCTATTGTACTTAGACCAGGCTTGTGTCGAACCAGCAAAAGACGACAAAGTCGGTAGTTATAATCTCATTTTCGTGTGCATAGTGTCTTTAACTGTGAATCCTACAAAAGCAATATATTATGTCTCAAGTGTCAGTTCTGTAGAGGCCCATTCTAAGTGCTGGCCAAAGGCTGCTTCGATTCGGGCACCAGGACGACGCCTGCATACAGCGCACCGACTGACCTGGACAGGTGGTAGTTCCACGCTGGCCCGGGATGGTAGGTTGGCCTCGCAAGCCGGGGGCACCTGAAGAGGGAATGGTTTGCATACAGTGGTCGTAAACAAATTGTCCGGCGCCTGGAGCGTGTCTCTGACCGGTCTGTTTCCCGCCTCCTTGAATGGAGGTCCTCAATTTCAGCCCGATGTCGTTGTAGAAGTCTTGCAGCAGATGCCCGTTCTGCTGCAAGTCTCTCACCAGCTTGACAGTTCACCCAGACTTTAGTAGCCAGAAGTAGCCACTTTATAGGCCTCACTAGCCAGGAGTAGCCACTTTAGTAGCCCCGACGGTGACACTCGCACTTACTCGTGCTTGTTGCCAGAACTTCTGCAACTGACTGCCAGGATTGCTACATTTGACAGTGTGGCACTCCGGCTTTTGCGACAATATTTGTTGCCACTTGAAAACAACTTTCGAACCGTGGGCAGGATAGGACGCCAAATATACCGGTCAGAGACGCCTGCGAGGTACCGTACCGGTGCCCACCTTGGTGTTAAAGTTGAGCGAGTGCTGGGGCAGGTGCACCGTGAAGCGGGCTTGGGCCCCCGTGCGTCCCGTGCCCGTCAGGGGCCTCATGTGATAGTGAGCTCGCAGGGAGGGCAGGAGCGAGGCCGCCGTCGTCAGGCCCTCCAGCACCAGGTCCAGGCGCACCACGGGGCGCAACGTCCGCTGGTCCGACCCCAGCGGGGTCGGGCTGCCCTGCACGGTCAGGAAACGGTGCCGCTTCGGCCAAACCGGAACCGCATGGCGCAAAGATAAACGATTTGCCCCTTTGCTGCGCCGCCGTGGCTAAGGCAGCGGTAATGCAGAACATAAAGGAAGGTTCGCATATTTGAGTTTCAGTGTGCCAATGTTATTAGATCAACTCAGCTGTGGAACTCCTGCGGAAGGGGCACCCCTCCCCTTCCCCCTTAACTTCCACCATGTGTCATTTAAAGTGTCATCTAGAGGCTGCATTTCAAAACTCTATTCCTTGAAGGTGCTACGGCAAAGTGCCACCGAGATGCCGTCCACCCCATGAATGGTAACGCATCGAACGACGGGAGGCAGACTTTGGGGGGAGGGAGAGGGTGTTCGTGGAAGTGTCGTCTATGGACAGTACCGGTCCGTAACCGAGTTAATCTAATCAGTGTTTCTGGTGCCCACCATTTGCTTTTGAACATGAACTGCAAGAAGAGTTTAGGTCCTGATGGTATTCCTAATCAATCTCTTCATCGTATTCTCTTTGGACATTGAGCGACTTAACCGTAATCTTTGAGAAGTCTCTCTCTTCTGAAATCATACCTAAACTTTAGAAATCAGCCAGAGTTGTTCCCGTCTTTATATCTGGTAACAAACAGAGCCTTATCAATTACAGACCAATTGCGTTGACTTCTTCTTTTAGTAAGCTCCTGTAACATATAGTCTGCAGTCATATTTTTAATATCTCGAAAGCAACTCAATCATTCGCCCTCAACAGCACAGTTTTCGTCGTCATTTTTCAACCCCCACGCAACTCTTGGAATTCACACATGACATTACTTCGTCTTTGAATAAATGGGGGCAGATTGATGGCAATATTCATAGATTATTCGAAGGGATTCAATAAAGTTTTGCAATCTAATATACTTTCGGGTTGACTTGACTGTATTACTGATTATTTAAGAAACAGGTCAGTTTGTTTCATTTGGTAATGCTGTTTTTCAGAAGTCACTGTCAGTTCAGGTGTACCGCAAGGATCGGTGTTAGGACCCATTTTATTTCTTCTGTATATTAGATATTGTACAAAACATACCGGTTAAAATTCGTCTTGATGCCGATGACTGAATCCTGTATAATGAAATTAATTTTGGTTAATGATCAACTGTTACTTAATGAATCCTTTATAAACTTCTTTAATTGGAGCAAACAATGGAAAATGGAAACAAACTTTGAAAAGACTGTGTTTATGAAGTTTACGAGTAAGAAATTGCCTTTGGTTTTTAGCTACGGCATTGATGAGATTGTCTTAAAGGAGGTTTACGATTTCAAATATTTGAGTATTATTTTTACATCTAACCTTGAATGGGGACAGGCATGTTGACCTTATTTGCTCTCGTGCCCTCGGGAATTTAGGATATGTTAAACGTACGTTGGAATGTTCTTCGAAAGATGTCAAATTAACCGCTTTTAAAACCCTCGTTAGGACGATTTTGGAGTCTGGTTCTGTAGTTTGGGACATTTATGTAAAAAAAGGATAATAGTCTTATCGACTTTATTCAGGCCAACGCGGTTCAATTCATTTCAGATAGATATAACACTTTTCAATTTCATCCACTATGCCAACATTAGGGCTAGAGCCTCTGTCTTTTAGGCGAACTGTCGAGTGGAAATGCTACATAGAATTTTTAATGAAGATAATGGCACTGAGTGCATGAAATACATTTCCTTTTCAGACATCACGTGCGCTAGGCGATCCCATTCTTTAAACATTGTACCCTTTCAGGCCCATATTAACTGTTTTAAAAATTCCGTCTTTCCGCGCACGTTTGAGTTGCGGAACGGTATTAATGGATATATGCGTATGTTTCAGTACGACGACGTCGTTTTAGAGATTGTGAAACTTTATTTTGTTTGATGTGTGATTGGCGAATCATTATTTTGTATATGTTTTTGTTTACTGTTAGCGCTACTCATCTTTTCCACCTGCATATTCCACTCCTGCAACGACCTCAATTGAGGTTGCAGTATGTTCAAACGAATAAATAAATAAATCAAACAGAGTGTTTCAACTGCATTGCAGTCCCTCCTAACTGCGTAACACGCTGGCACCATCTATGCGGTAGACCCGGAACTCTTCTGATCTGCATATTCCTTTACGCATCATTATTTCAGTGTGGGCTTTAAATAATTCTGACAATATTATAAGAGACGCTTGGGTCGCGCCGGATGCCCAGATGCCCTTCATTGATTTGCAATGCAAACCCCCCCCCCCCCCTCTTTCATTCCATGCGTGACGTCACGTTTCATGCGAGTGTTGTGGTTTGTTTGAAATTCCCAAGCAAAGTCAAGTGGCTGCGACACAAGCTCCGTAAAGCTATTGTTTTAAAACTAACTGCAGCGTCTTCCACACACCCTGACGATGCTGCCGAAACGCATTCTGTACATACCGACTTCATCCGTGGCATTGAATGAAATCAAGCATTGTGGTTATGCCAGTCCTTTTTATCTTATTTTTCGGCCTGACACTTCTACTGGGTTTCACCTCCTTCTTTCATTGTTTACGGAGATTAAGAAAATATTTCGTACCACCAGATCTTTATTTCAATGACAATTAATTTTTGTTAATAAAGTGCAATTGAGTTTTTCTTAAAGGGTCAATTACAACCTATGTCAGAAGGGCAGACTGCGGCACCCACCAGGGCGGCCTCCTCCGCGGGCGGTCGCTCGGCGGAGCGCCCGGGCCCGCTCCGGCGCAGCTCCTGCAGCGTGGTGGAGAGCTGCTTGCTGGGGCGCGTCACCATGCTTTGCAGCACCACGGGGTGCTGGAGGATGTCGATGTGCACCGCCCCGATGGAGAGCAGCGCCGCGTGGTGTGCCCCGCGGCTCGAGCCCAGGGCCTGGGATTGCCCCACGGCCATCGTGACCACCATCTGGTGGTTCGGGGGCTGGCCCTCCAGGAGAGCCACGCTCGTTCGGCCCAGGCGTCCCGTCTCGGAAGATTCGCTCTTGCGCAGACCCTCCTCAAAGGTCTCCTATAAAGAACACAAGATCCGAGTCACGTCGAGAAGTCGCAAAGGAGGAGGCCAGTTTAGAACATTTTATCTACGTCGTCGCAGGGCGGAATCTTCCTCACAGAGTGAGAGCATCTTTGCTGGAGCACCCTCACAAGCGGATTCTCAAACTCCCTGCTTCAGTCGGGGCAATTTTCGGAGCAATTTCGGGGTTGTTGGCGAGTCATTCCCTATAATTTCCTAGATGCTCGTGCTGCGACACTAATTGCCGAAATCGAGTCCAGCTCGAGACGGGTGAGCAGCTCCAACAAATGGGAGATTTTCGAAGTGGCAGTAGGTGCCATATTTTTTATGTGACCCTTCTTGTGGTTGTGATGATAATAACTGGACAGGGGGTATAACTTGACGAGTCCGACGAGCCTGTTGCATTAATACTCAATATGAAGAAAGTGAAGCCTCTGTCCCCTCTGTGTTTTGCTTTCTTCATATTTAGTATAACTTGGTCTTGGTTTTAAATAGATTGATTTCGCCATTATAAGTGGTTTCGGGAAGACGAGATAGTATTCTCCACGCTATCAAAATATATGGAAACACGTTACTAATGTGCTGGGGAAAGGGTAGCTGTCTCGTACGGCTGTAATCCACACAGAGTCTGGCTGTTCCTTCTTTTTCGGAGCGACAACAACGGGGAACGCCCAGGGCCTCTTCGACTCACGTACTGAACCGGTGTCGATTATTTCGTCGAGCGCCGCATCTAGGAGTGTTCTTTTGTGGACGCTTATCGGTCGAAGGTTGCACCTCCGAGGCGGCGCGTCACCGGTTTCAATGCGGTGCAGCACAATGTCAGTCTTTCCAGGTGTTTCCGTGAACATCGGTGAGAAAGACTGCAGGACGGCTTGCAACACCTGCTTCTGCTGGCTGCTTGCGGGGCACCTTCGCAACGATTCTCGAACACCGGCAGGCAAGACGTCCGGCACCATTGTGAAGTGGGCTGCAGTGGTCAGGTTACGTAAACAGTCCTCCCGTCTGGTAAACGGAGTCAGCTCCGGTTGCTGTCCCAGCCGGTATCCGCCACCAGAAAAGTCGAATGTCATGCTTTCGCCTGTAATGAAATCTCGGCCCAAGATCACGGGTACCACGAGTCCTGGCAGATAAAGAAAGCGCTGACGCCGCTTCTTTCCATTAAACCGAATCTGCAGCCTCACGGCTCCTCCAGCTGTTATCGCTGTACCAGAAGCTAGCTGCAAACGGGTTTCGCACTCCCGGAGGCTTATCCTTTTTGCTTTGCAGAGTTCGAAAACAAAACCCAAAAGAGCGGCAATGGGAAAATCGAGCAGTGAAATCATCATGCGCGGTTCAATGATGTTAGGCTCGGGCTGGATTCGACATACCGATGGAATCTGTGCCGCGGCCTCACTGCTCCCAGGGAAGGCGGCGCACGCGATGTGCGCGTGGCGGGCGTGACGTCGCCGCCACGCGGAAAAACTTTGCCACCTGCGCCCCGCAGTCGAGCAACTGGGCTGGGTGGCCACCAGGGTGCCCACAAAGTTAAAAACCACAGGTTAGCGGTCATAGTGCATTGGCCATATTGCCCCTCTAAACTGGAGACATCAGACACCCTCCTAACTTTTCACGTCTAAGCAACCATCAACAAATTTTAGTTTGAAAAATGTCTAGAGGCTGGCTTTACAGAACGAGTGTCAGCAGGTATGCAACATTGCTCAAAGATCCCAAGTCTGAGGTGATCTTGGAGAGACAGTACAGAGTGGCTTTCCCTTACAACATCTAGGCTAGCGGAGGGTGAACACTTTACAAGGAAGTAAGAGAGTCTCGAGGCCAGACTAACGTAGCAAGGAGAAACTAGCATTTTCAGCATGTATTCATGAAATCCCCACTGCATGACATATCTCAAGGTCTTGCAGCCTTAGTAGAATTTTTGCTATGCAGTCAAGATATCTCATAACATTAAAAGACAGTCCGAATTCTCACTCAATAAACACTCCTGCAGTGAATACGGCATGCATGGCCCAATGCTCGTAAACTAAGAAGGCAGCTTTATTTTGTAATCCTGTGCATTGTGTTCACATAACCGAAGTCGTCAAACAGGCTTTTAGATTGAAAATCAAGTTTACTGAATGAAAACGAAACTTGCTTCGAGTCTCGTTTACTTAAATATAAAGTGGTGAAAGACACGCAGGGCGCTGTATGGCGCATCATCAATGGTAATACAGAAACAAACGTCAGGATGAAATACCTAAACAACACACTACCAGATTATATGCGCATATGCACACAGATTGATAGGGAAAAGAAACGTATTTTCCGTTAATTTAAGCTGGATAACTTAAAGGGACACTGCTTCAGAACTGTCGTTTGTGGTACCGGCTAGTTAATCTTCAAGAGCCGATCATCAAGCGGAAGAGATATAAGTGCGAAACAATCGTACGCAAATTCGTCGTCGTCATCTGCTTCGCACGCCGGAGAAGCGGAGGAAAAAAAAACTATTTTTAGTGAATTTGTCGTCGTCATTTGCTTCACACGCGGAGAAGCGGAGAAAAAAATATTTTTAGTCAATCCGTTTAGTCAATGCGAGTCAAAAACCAGCTGATCAATTGCCTATCATTCCAGCTTGGAGGTGGAAAGGGGGGAAGGGCGGGCAGGAGATAATTCCACGCGTTCTTAGCGTGAAGCATTTAAACAAATGTCAATGTCAGGTTTTTCCGACGATAACTTACATCCATTGAACGGGTACTACTTACACGGTGCACGCTGTGCACCGTGCATTATAAGCATTTATACACATTATCACGATGATGTAACATTTAATGGTTTTAGGAATGTTCGAGGACTAAATAGATACTCAAATTTCTCCCCTTAGTTCTCATCCACATTAGATTTTGGAACAACGCAAAATGATTCGATCGTCAAGAAAACGCAGCGCTCACAAAACCCGCCTCATTTAATTCCAGGAAAAAATATACTTTGATATCGTAGCGGTGGTGACGAAGTTTGAGCCTGAAGCCAGCTTAGAAGCCTCGAAAGGTTTGCGTGCCCGGTGTTGGCCAATCTGGCTGAGAAGGCCAGTGATGTCGCCATCGCGTGCGTCAGAGTGTGACAAGTGCCTCACACCGCGGGCACTATTAGGCTGACTAATAATGGCCCTGTTACACGGGGACTCTCAACCGCAATTGACTCAAGTGCTGTTTGTGCGGAGGGCGAATGAGTTCGCGACACTTACTTTATCTAATTACTACTCCCTCGGAAGGTCAAGTATGTAGCTGTCCTTAAGAAACGCAGATCGCGCCAAATCCTGGGCGTCTCAATATCCAACCAATCAGACTACTGCATTAGCCGGTAAGAGCGTTTAAGAACAAATACTGCTACAACTACTACTACTAATAATAATGATAATAAAAATCTTTATTTTTGTGTACCAAAAACAACTTTAAGGTCTTCACTTTGGTGCACAGAGAACGAGTAACCGCCAAACTAACATAAAGCAAATAAAACACATTACACATAGGTAAAGATCCTTTGCAATTGCTTGCTTTAAACAGAAAAGTCACTGAATGTTTCAATACCTGGATTGTCAAGGCGATTGAGCAGTGTTTGCATGTGTGACAAGGGTGAAGGTATTAACATAAAAAGTAGAGCGGTTTCTAGTCAAACGGAAGTGGACAGGGATATTAGCATTGGATAAAAGTGAATCATTGACTATATCTCTATTTACCATCTCGCGCAAAAAAAAAAAATCAAGTCAAGTTCCATTTTTTTGTTAGCATGCACCAATGACAAAGCAAAAAGCAAAACATATACAATAAACTGCGCCTCGCGATTGTTGTCGCTGAGTGAAGTGGCAGTGGCGACACAGCATGCACCTCTCTTTGCCACTGAAATATCGCACCATTTAAAACGTGATACTGCTCGCGCCTCCTATTGTTTCAACCGATTAATGGTATACCAATGACGGCCGCTCCGACCGCGTCGCTGTGGTCTAAAAAATGTAGTTATGGTTACTGTTGACGACACTAAGATTGAGAATATAGACGCGAAACTGAGGTCATCCCGTGAAGGTTACCGAAAAAATGAAGTGACGGCAGTCATCTGAATTGCCTTTCTGTCAAAACATATTTAATGCAAGTACTTCGCTGCTATAGACACTTCAACTATGCGATATTCCGATATAAAGTAACTGTCATATTCTGTCACTATGCGCCAAAAAACTAAGGGAGAGAGGGAAACGAGAGCGCGTAGTGACTTCATAACGCCGGGCTCTGATTGGAGTGATTAGTGGGTAGACCTAAAGCTAGCTGACCTCGTCTCCCCTGCGCTCGTCGAACGCGTTCGAATGCAACAGCCAAACGCCGGACGCCGGCGTTCCGCGTTCTAATCCGTTGGACGAGTGTAGTGGGGACAAAGTCAGCTAGCTTTAGGTCTACCCACTGATCACTCCAATCAGAGCCCGGCGTTACAAAGTCACTACGCGCTCTCGTCTCCTCCTCTCCCTCAGTGTCTCGCCGCATATGGGGAGGGAAAGTCGTCTGCTTCTTGCTCAGGAGTTGCGCTGACGTCAGAAAGACGCCGACCTCTGATTGGCTTCGATTGAAGAATAGTGGGTAGACGTCAAAGCAAGCTGCCTTCAGGTCTACTCCTTCATTCAGAACCAATCAGAGTTCGGCGTCTTTCTGACGTCAGCGCAACCCCTGCAAAAGAAGCAGACGCAATTTTAGGCTTTCAAGACGGGCGTACAACCAAATAACCTCATGTACAGGATGATAGCTATATTGCGGTTAAGTTCACTGTTCAAAGCTGCGCCCTTTTTTTTTTCTGCTTTAATTTTTTGTAATTACCTTGATTTCGACAGGCTGCGTTTTTAAATATGTCACTTATTTATTTCAGATAGAGTTGAGTCACTTGAATCTTGCAAAATCTCAATCTCCCTCATTTTTCGAACTGATGCTTCACGTGTTTCACGAACACCTGAGTACCTCCGTTTTTTTTTGTTTTTTTTTTTTGTTTTTTTTTTGTTAGTTTTGTTTACAAGATACTACGACGTCACTGGAAATCCTGTCATTGGAAATCATCTGTACCTCCATTCACTTTTTTTACGAAATATTACGACGTCATTGGAAATTCTCTGGACTAGCCCTGACGGATCCTGCGTCAACACGTTGAGTCAGGGGTAGTGCATGGGGTACTGCCAATTCCTTTATTGTTCCCCGAAGCAACGAGATGACTAAGGAGACTTGGTGAATATTTACGACCTATTGGACGCCATCCACTCACAACCTATAGAACATATGAGGCGGCTGGAACAAAGACGCGGACATGTTTATGATGTGCTCCAGCGTTTCGCAGCGTCAATGGCCGAAACGTTTGCCGGATTCCCCGAAGAACATCCTCGTGATAATTTCTTGCGGCTCGGTAAT